AAAGGAACTTGAGGAACCGCAAACGACTTTAATGGAGGCTGAAAAGAGATCATCGCCATGGAAGCAAGTGAAACAGAGAAGGAGATTCAGATCGGAACCTGAAAATTTCTCAGGGATAAAAATTTTCAGCTTCAGAGGCTCAGCGCAGTCACGGAAGAGAGAGAACTTCAGAGATGAAACGAAGGTGGAGGACCTGAATCCTTATATAGGGGTAACCAAATGACCATTTGAGGCAGTTTTCTGAAAGAGAGAGGTTGAGAAAGGCGTTGAAATTCTGGGTAATTTAGTCCTTTCACTGCTAAGTTTTCTCGAAGAGAGAGATTGAGGGAGGCGTTGCAACGATGGGGGCAATTTGGTCATTTCCTTTCGACATTACGATGCACATGTCCTCTTTAAAAAAAAATTAAAATAATAAAATATTTCAAAATCAAATATATAATTTAATCCAAGCCCTAATCAAAATGGAATCGGTGTGTGAGCGAGAATGCTGGGCCCTTAAGATATAGATTATGAGCTCTCGCATCAACGGGAGAATAAAACGAAACATTTCTTATAAGGATGTGGAACCTCACCTAATAGATGCGTTTTAAAATTTTGAAGCGGACTAAAGCAGATAATATTTGTTGACGGTGGGTTTGAGCCGTTACATTTTAGTTCCAAATAGTTCCTTAAACGATTATCGAACTCATATATTAAAGAAATTTTTACAAAAAATTATTCTAAAAAAGGAAAATAAAAAGAGCATAAAATAAAAATATATTGAAAAATGAAAAGGAAAAAAGTTAAATTAAAAAGAATATAAAAAAAAAAATAAAAAGAAGGAGAAATCCTAGGTTATCCCCGGTACATGTATACAATCGTTAAGAGTCTCAACTCTAATTCTTCGAAATCTTACCTCTTAAAATTAGATTAGTTTTTTTTACGAGGTACATCTTCCATAATTGAAAGAATTCAGAGGTCATCGTTGAGCACATGCAGATAAAGATTATCCAATAAATTCCCTAATTAAAAGAATTCACCGTTACGTCTTCACAAAAGTCTGACACATTTTTCACATATCCAATAGGTTGAGGTCAAAAAGAAGATTGGTCATTTTTTCAATGAGTCAATGCAATAAAGTAAAAATGTTGAAGAAAAAGAAAGAACATTTTCTACATTTTTTATAAGATCAAAATTAGAGTTGATTAGGCCTTCGAGGTCGATAAACACCCAAACTTTAAGAAGGTTGAAAGAAGAGCCATGGGTCAATTAGACACCTAAACCTAGGCCAAAACGACTAAGACCAAGATGACTCAAATACCATCAACGCGTACCTCAAAGATGCCCCTACCTTAGAGAAGAACCGAGCGTGTTACAGGAGTAAATTAGGAGTAAATTAAGAGCGTAACCCAAAAAAATGGTTCAAATGTAAGAGGCTAGGATTGGTCAATCAGGCTCACTAATTCGAAGCAAGCATCTAAAGTGCAATGCTGACACACTATACCACAACTTCACGAAATTAGTTAGGTCAAGTGTGACGTAATTAGATTTCCACAAATGAGTTAGAAAATGAAGCCCACTTGACGATCACTCTCACTTATGAGGCACACCTCGGAAGGAAAAAGTTCAACACACTTGGTGCAAGTCATATAAAGATGAGTAAACTATGAAGCAAACGACGAAATCACCCTACGAGGCAGAAGACGAAGAAAAAGCATAATACTCGAGGTTTATATTCCTGTCAAAATGTTATGAATGAATTTAGCTAAGATGGTATTATAATTTAGAGAATATTCAAAACACTTGAGAAGTTTGACTGGAATTTATTTGGGTATTGGATTTGGGGATCTAATTTTATGTTTGACAGTAAAGCAAAAGAAAGAGTTGTGAAGTTACTCTTGGAATCAAAGATTTGAGACTTTTCCCTCTTTTCCCTATTCCCAAGACAGACAGACCAGGGTTTACTATAGTCTTGATTCTTCCAGGAATCCAAGCCATGTTCTTACAAAATGCTAAACAACCTTGCATCCATGGGTTGTTTTGAAACATATAAAGATTCGAAACAATATTTACTACTTTGAAAGAATCAAAAGATTCTTAAAACAAAAGACAAAAAGTTCAAATTAGTATCTAGGATTTCTAACAGATTTAAGGGTTCGCAGCCACATGCAACACATATGAGCCACACATGACATGAAATAAGCTTAAAGTGACTGAGAGGATTCCTCCTTACCTTGTTTGCTAGAGACAAGCCAACCTCAGAAAGATGCCAAAAAGAGGCCTCATTTAATGGGGTAATGCCAACAGAGTGGTGGGGGCCCTGACATTGCAAAATGGTCTCTAATGGAAGCTAAAGAGGATAAGTTAATGTACAAAAAGCTAGATCCATTATCCAAATCAAGACCGACCCTTACAGGACCTTTTCAATGAACTAAGAAGCCGCTTAACTCTTTTAATCAATAATAATTCATCAATCAAGGGGCGTTTTCAATTGAAACATGAACAATATAACATTAATCCTTGAGATTACCCCCCTAAATTTGCCAGAAACCGAAACAAATAGAACACAATAAAACAGTCCATACTCAAATCAAAATTCAGACTATTAAGTCTTCAAAACTCTGTTGAATTAAATATGGCTTACAACTCTAAACAGTTGCTGTTTTTGGATCAAAAGAGGAAGCCTGCGTTATTTATATCCCCGCAAAAGCCTTCTTCCCACTACTTGAGGATCCAGCAGGAATGACCTTCAACACATTGAACCTAACTGTCTTCGACAATGGCCTGAAATTCATTCAAACACGGTAAATGTGAAACATGTCTTGGAAAAAAACACAAAACAATAGATATAATAACAGCAATCAATGGAAAGAATTTTTCGTATCTTAATGTACCTGCATTGGCCGATAATAACGTGATCTCCCTCCTTCACACGAAAGCAAGGAGATATGTGGGCTGGAATGTTGGAGTGCCTTTTCTCATACCTGAAGGAGAAAGAAGAAACACAATATGTCAAAACCACGAAAATAAAAATCAGATGGCGGTGGCGGTGGCGGTGGTGCTGACTGTGTGTGGGTAGGGTGGAGTTCAGTGAAGCACCTCTGATACTTCTTAACGTAGTGTAGATAGTTCCTCCTGACAATAATGGTCCTGACCATTTTAGCACTATGACAAGTTCCAGCTAAAATACGTCCCCTGATAGAGACCGTTCCGGTAAAGGGGCATTTCTTATCGATATATGTTCCTGCATGAATGTAATAGAATTGGAATAATAAGTAAGTAAATAGCATTCTCATATTCAGCAACAATTCAAAAGAACATAATAGCAAGATATGCCTAAATAGGGTCTTAAAAACTTAGAGATAAGGATGCATACAATACATAGGGTAAATAAGGATGCAATATTGCAAAGAAATTCCCCTTCACGGGATGAATTCTTATTTGCAGCAACAATTCACAGAACATGAGAGCAAGATACGCCTAAATATTGGGCCTTAATAAGAATGAATACAGTACATAGGGTAAGTGAGGATGCCCAGCCTAGAATGGGAATACGGCATTAGCCTTCTAATATTCAATCATGAATCTCACGATAAACGCAATGCTGTGGCAATTTTTCTTGATCATAAATAATTGATTGGAGAGTACTAAGTTTGACATCATTCCATCAACAAAATTCCTTAATATTTTGGACTCCCTCAACCATCCATCTAGTAGATACTGTTGTATAAAGGAAGAAACATACACCTATTCTAGACAAAAGATAATAAAATCCTCAACACAACTATCCCTTCAGCTCATTACGTTTTTTCAATATATTTTTGCATCAGAGTTGTATCCTCTCAGCATTCGAACAAATGGCAATTCAATAGAGAATACAATCAATGAAGCACTATACAAGGTTAAAAATGATCGAAGTACAAGGTTTTTTTATTGTGGATAAAAGTACAACGGGATGGTTCAGAGCAAACAATGAGTCTGGCTTCCAGTTTATGGTACTCGAGCAAAGTCAAAACACAGATGGACTAAAAACATTCATATGAGCAAGCCAACAAACATAAGGTGATCAGAGTTGTGAAAAACAGAACCTTCAACGGCTTCCCTTGGCGTCTTGAATCCTAATCCAATACTCTTCCAAAAACGGTTTCCGCCCTTTCCAGGTCTCTTCCCCTTCCCACTCTTTTTAGAGCTATTTTGAAAAAACGAAAGAGAATAATAATTAGAACAACACAAATCATAAAAACAAAATCAAATCGGGATAACGGCAAAACAAAACAACAATTCAAAAAATAAGAACACAAACACATGTCATTCAAAAACTGAACAAAAAACAAAAATTTCAATTCGTTTACCAGAGAAAAACCTTGGGTTGCTTCAAAAACGCCTTCTCGGTCTGCGGAAAAAAGATAAAGAGTACAGAGATGTTAAAGTCACTGAAATGAAAAGGGAAATGAATGTCGCCAATTCAATAGAAACCTGCTCCGCCATGATTAGGGCTTCCGAAGCGAGCAAGCGTTCTGGTTCGCTCGGGCGGCCGAAGGAGCAGAGTTCGATTACAGAAACCCTAAACCTGCTTCAGAGAGTTATAGAGCGGACGACAATAGATGGGCTTTACAGGAGAATTGGGCTTACCATATGAAAATGGGCCAAAATTTTCTTTTTGAAGTTTTAATAAATATATACACTCCATAAATCTTAAATTTAGTCTTTTAAAATAATTTATTTTTAAATTTGGTATAAAAAGTTAGTTTTGTTCATGAACAGCTTGATAAACTGCATCAAAATTAAGTGCGATTTTCAAGAAAATCTTCAAGGTTGAGAAATTCGTAGCTGTTCTTAGCATGATTTTGGGGAACTTACTCGCCAATCCAATTAGCTCGGGCTCTAGTTCTTCCGTTTTTATTCCTTAGCAAGCGGATACAGATGATGAGACCAGAAATTGTGTACAATTCATAGATATACTAAGAAGAAAATGCATACGAAAATAAGAACGAGCGATTAAGTGTAGAAATTTCTTTCGATAGTGAATTTGATCAATGCAGGCACGATTTGATCATTAATATAAAATAGCATTATTTGTGCATAAAATTTGCTAATTCCAATAAATGAAAAAAAAAGATGCATCTCGACTCTTACATACGATGGCGCGATCTGAATTTGCAAAGCCCTAATTCTCTCCGCGTTCACTCGAGAGTGTATCTTCGATCTTTCTCTTCGATAAGCCTCCTCTCTTTGCATCTGCAAACGATAAGAATTTGCGCAGACGCGTAGGGTTGGAAACGCGATTACTCGAAGCTTCTGGATCTTGCTTCAAATGGCGGTTGAATTGGCACATCGTCAAGAAGAAATGCAGGAAAAGTGCGAAGAAACATACGCCGGCACAAATGGAGAAGAGTCCAATGAAACTCTGCAAGTGAAGTTGTTCTTGATCGAGATTGGAATCTCCAGAACTGCAAGACTTTCTTGAGAACCACTGATCGTGAATCTTTTGAAGACCGCCATTCTCAGATAGAGTGAGTATGGCCGTCGACAAGTCTCCCGCCAATGGAGAGTCTCGCGGAAATGCCTAACAAAAATGCAAAATATAAAGTCATTTTTTAATTTATATATATATATATATAATATGTCTCGAGTAATTTGTTAGACAATTTTTAAATCTCGGGATCTTATTAGACGCAAAATTTAAAATATAAAATTTAATAAAATAAAGTTAATAATCGATTTTTCAAAACTCGAAACTAGTCCAAATACACATCTTGTTACGAGAAACTATGACTCGGGTTATTATTATTAATACTTACAATTTTATATTGATCAGTATCTAGACACATCTGAATTATTCTTATCGATACGACTACCTGAACTACAACATTTGGTTGTTTTCGTCGTGAAAACCACCCGAGCTAGAACATTTGGTTGCAAGATAATTCGTCCGATATTGAATCACTGGCTACCATAACTTGAACTCATTTGTTTTCGGGTGTGTTATTTACTCTAAACACATCCGACAATGGACCACCTTGTTTTGGTTTTACTTCCATATGTTCCATTCTTGTCGGAAAAAAACATGTTTTCTTAGCTGAAAAATGACCACTTTAATGCCTAGATCTTGTCTGGTTCAAGTGGCTTCTCTCCTAGTTGAGTATGTATTCCACCTAGGGTTTTTCCTTCGGGCTCCCTCTCAAGGTTTTTAAAACGCGTATGTCATGGGGAGGTTTCCACTCCCTCGTAAAGAATGCACAATTTCACCCCCTTTGAAGTCCAGCGTCCTCGCTGGCACTCGTTCCTTTATCCAATCTATGTGGGACCCCTCAATCCACCCCATTCGAGACCCAGTTTCCTCATTGGCACACCACCGGGTGTCCACCCCCTTTAGGGTTCAGTGTCATCATTGACACATCGCTCAATGTCTGGTTCTGATACCATTTATAACGGCTCAAACTCACTACTAGCAAATATTGTCCTCTTTGGGCTTTTCCTTTCGGGGTTCCTCTCAAGATTTTTAAGACGTGTATTCTAGTGAGAGGTTTCCACACCCTTATAAAAATACTTTGTTCCCCTCTCTAACCGATGTCTCGAATGGAGGTGGATTGTGCATTCTTTATAAGAGTACAAAAACCTCCCTCCAACAGACGCGTTTTAAAAACCTTAAGAGAAAGTCCGAAAGGAAAAGTCCAAAAAGAACAATACCTACAAGCAGTGGATTGGGACGAACGTAACATATCTAAGCAACAAAACTTTAGTAAAACAGTATTTGTAAAAGCGAGGGGATTAAAACTTGAAAGCTATGTCTGAGATATACTTACAAATCCCCATCCACTTTTGGTGAACTGTTGGCCTTTTGTCGAATAATCGCAGTACTCGGCGAGAAAAACATCGATGTATGGCTGCTCGTCAACGATAGCGCCCACCGTGCCGTTCTTGAGAGCAGCAGCATACTCTTTTGGGGATCCAAGAGCAATGAGCCTTGACTTGTGGACGTTAAGTTCCTCACTTAAATAACTTTCAGCAAACGAACCAACTTGGAATCCTATACGGACATTGGTAGATATCAATGAATCAATTCCTGTGATAGGTGAGGTTGCTAGCTGTACCGTGAATATCGACGTTAGACTAGCGGTGTAGCTCGAGTTTATAATTAGAACCACAAAAAGCCATATGACAAGCACGAAACGACCGGGCGTGCTCATGACGTTTTCTCCTGAAAATGAGAATATCAAAGACTGAGGAGAAGTTTGGTTTCAAACCCCAATTCAATCTCGAAATGAAAACTTACTTTGTGCAAAAAACATAGTAGAGAAGCCAAACCTGCATGACAATATAAGAAACACTGAGATGAGGATGGATACCAAGATTGAAGAACAAGCAATACATTGCCTTGTCTAAATCGATATGGAGAGATGAAATTTCGACATGCTCGAGCGATTTTTAGCTCAAAAAGAACCGAGTTTCCTTTCCTTTTTTCTCAAATCCATCTCGTTTATGGTATTGGATCGGTTTATCTTTGTAGCTAATCAAACAAACATACGAACAAGAAGAAACTTTCATAAGAATGCCCGTTGCTCTTGGAGTGTTCATATGACACAATAATGGTGAATGCATAAAACCATAGTTTTCGGGTTCTAAAAAATGAAGGGTTTAAGTTGATGTCAATCATAGAGTTAACGTGTGAGATCCCACATCAGTTGGGGAGGAGAACAAAACATTCTTTATAAGGGTGTGGAAACCTCTCCCTAGCAGACTCGTTTTAAAAATCATAAGGGGAAGCCCGAAAGAGAAAGCCCAAAGATGACAATATTTGCTAGCGATGAGCTTGAGCCGTTACAAATGGTATCAAAGCCAGATACTAGGCGATGTGCCAGCGAGGAGACTAAGCCGCGAAGGGGGTGGACATGAGGCAGTGTGCCAGCAAGGACACTGGGCCCCAAAGGGGGGTGGATTGTGAGATCCCACATCGGTTGGAGAGGAGAACGAAACACCCTTTATAAGGGTGTGGAAACCTCTTCCTAACAAACGCGTTTTTAAAACTTAAGGAGAAGCCCGAAAGGGAAAGCCTAAAGAGGACAATATCTGCTAGCAGTGGGCTTGGGCCGTTACAAATGGTATCAGAGTCAGACACCAGGTGATTGTGTCAGCGAGGAGGCTAAGCCCTGAAGGAGGTGGACATGAGGCGGTGTCCAGTAAGTACACTGGGTCTCAAAGGGGGGTCCTACATCGATTGGAGAAGGGAACGAAGTGCCAACGAGGATGCTGGGCCTCGAAGGGAGGTGGATTGTGAGATCCCACATCGGTTGGGGAGCAGAACGAACAAAACATTTTTTATAAGGATGTGGAAACCTCTCCCTAACAGACACCTTTTAAAAACCTTTAGTAAAAGTCCAAAGAGAACAATATCTGCATGATCATCTCATGGATCACGAAACAACCATAGATCTATATAATACGTATTCTTTGTTCAAATCGAGAGCTCACCAGAGGATTGTGACGAATTGCTTCCTAGGATGTCCTTGGAATTCGTCATTATCTCGACGTTCCAAAATCCACACGACTAATCCAATGAGAAGGAAAAATGCTGCCGAGACAATCCACAACATCGGTGTGAACGGGCGAAGGAACGCCAAAGGACTCGAGTTCAAATTCTTCACAGGGGCCAACACTATTAGCCCCGACTCGATATAAGGCTGCGTAAAATCGACAATCTTGGTACGACTCGTCACAATTGCAATATCACCAACAGCAGCATCAAATTCCTACAAAACCAATCTCCCACATTTAGTCATTACAAAACAACAAGCCAAAATGCATCTTAAAAACATACTTACTTTCAATGCAACATTATTAACAAGCTCAAAGTAGCTAGGATTCTCCTTGCCATCTCCAAACAAAACAAACTCATAATTAACAGCATATGGAAGCAACTCGACCGCAGCAACGAACACGTCAATGCAGTATCCTTTAATCGTTTCGTTACCACTTCCGGGCGTCACAAACTCCTGATAACTAACTCGGCGTGGAACGCCAATTCTTAACCGTCTTCCATCGAGTGGAAGAACCCAACCACGAGGCTTTGTTGTCAATCCCCCAGGCCACACCATGCTGCCTAACTGTTCGGTACGATTGACTGCTTTTCCATACAGCGTTTCGGGCGCCACGACAGATAGCCCCGAATGGTTCGACCAATATCCAATCCTCTTCATACCAGATTTCACAACATTCAAGATATCATATGAGGGATGCAAAGGGTATCTATCTTGAAACTGAATAGGCCCTGTCAGGCCAATCATACTGATAGTCAATAGATTGTTAAGCAGCTCATTTCCCTCATTAAACACTCCTAGTGAACTAAAATCCAAGCTCTCTCCACTAAGACTACCAGCATGTGTATATTTGGAGAAAGAAATGGTACCATTTTGATCAAATAACTCTTTCAATCCTCTTGCAATCATCCAAACAGTATCATATGCATATAGGCCATAAGTATTCAACCCAATCGAGCCATTACTCAGCTCGTTCCAACGAGATATAAACGATTGCTTCCTTTTCGACTCGGGTGTATGTAGCCGAAGCGTAAGAACGCCTTGTATGGAGTTAGCCGTTTTCAAGGGAAGGGGTGAAGTAGAATCTATAACTGTTGATAGCCAACTAGAGGTTATCCAAACATATCCAGCCTCCATCATTCCAAGGCTTTTAGCCATTTCGAAAACCAAGAAACCTGTTTTCGAGAACGTATATAATACGATAACTCGAGATTCCATCATTTTAATCTTTACGAGCGCGTCGTGAACTTGAGTTCTTGTGGCTGTTGGGTAAGGGGGAAGTGCTACTTTAGAGGGTATTTTCAAGCCTTTGTTTTCGATTTTGTCGCCTAATGTGAACATACTGTTTCGACATTGATCATCGTCGGTGTAAAGCACGACGACGTCGTGCCAACCGTAATAACTAATCATATCTGCTATTGCTGCCATCTGGAATTGATCATTTGGAGCTGTTTGAATGAAGTATGGATATTGCAAAGTTGAAAGTGTTGGATCCAATGCTGTAAATGATAGTAATGGGACATGGAGTTCATTTGAAAGATGTGAGAGTATATGTCCCATAGTAGCATCTTGTGGACCAAGGATAGCAACCGTGTCAGATACCATGTACTTTATTGCTGTCATCACAAAAGTTTCAATATTAGCTTCTGATTCAGATATTCATTTAGGCAAGATACAAACTTCTCTTATACTTTTCAAAATAGACGACCAATTCTGTCAGGTCCACATCGGTTGGGGAGGAGAACGAAACATTTTTTATAAAGGTGTGAAAACTTTCCCTTAGTAGACACGTTTTAAAACCTTGAGGGAAAGCCCGGAAGGAAAAGTCTAAAGAGGACAATATCTATTAGCGGTGGGCTTAGGCTGTTATAAATGGTATTAGATCCAGACACCGGGCGATGTGCTAGTTTGGAGGCTAAGCCTTGAAGGGGGGTGGACATGAGGCGGTGTGCCAACAAGGACGCTAGGCCCTGAAAGGGGTGGATTAGGGGGTCTCACATCGATCGGAGAAGGGAACGAGTGACAACGAGGACGCTGGGCCCTGAAGAGAGGTGGATTGTGAGATCTCACATTGGTTGGGGAGGAGAACGAAGTATTCTTTATAAGAGTGTGAAAACCTCCTCCTATTAGAAGCGTTTTAAAACCTTGAGGGGAAGTCCGAAAGGAAAAGCCTAAAGAGGACAATATCTACTAGTTGTGGGCTTGAGCTGTTACAAATGGTATCAAAGCCAGACATCGGGCACTGTGCCAGCTTGGAGGCTAAGCCCCAAAGGGTGGGTGGACACAAGGCAGTGTGCCAATAAGGACGCTAGGCCCCGAAAGTGGGTGGATTGAGGGATCCCACATCGATTGAAGAAGGGAACAAGGGTCAGCGAGGACGTTGGGTCCTGAAGAGGGGTGGATCGTGAGATCCCACATTGGTTAGGGAGGAGAACGAAGCATTATTTATAAGGGCGTGGAAACCTCTCCTTAGAATACTCATTTTAAAAACCTTGAGAGGAAGCCTAAATAGGACAATATCTACTAGTGGTGGCTTGGGTTGTTACAAATTCTATGATGAGACAAGAGAGAAAACCAAGGGACTAGGAACGAAAACGAACACTTCACAGCGACTAGGGCTAACGCTAAAATAGACCGAAGCTGAAAGTACAAGGATCAAAATAGTCGAGTCCACCGACAAAAGAGAAGAATCGGCCTTCGTAGGCCGAGGCATACCTCCTGTGATACCAAGAAATCCACTGTAATTTGCATCATGTATGGATATAGATAGCTTTCTTCCACCAAGAACACTTGGATCAGAGTTCACATCCTTCTCAGCAGCCTCAATGGCAATCTTGGACACTTTTCCATTAACAGAACGAAGTGAAAATATAGCTCCAACTTTCACTACTTCAGTTCTTGAGGCCCCTTCGGAAATTCCTAGAATACAAAGAAGTAATGAAAGAAACCAAACCATATTCATAGAGATTAAGCTGAAAAATGAGCTTTCTTTGATAGAATATCACAACAAAATCGTTCTTGGGGCGGCGACGACGACGATGACTCGTTCAAACGAAACGAATCAATAAAGAACAGCATGCTAGAACAGTAAGCAGCAACAAAATCCAAAAAGAAAAACACAAGGAAAGGGACCAACACAAATGGTACTAGAATGTCAGAAAAAACCAAACATCAAGCTCTCCGGCAACAAGAGGACAAAATACCTTGTTTTCAAATTCAGAAAAACACAAATAAAAAGAAGTTCAAACTTAGCTGTTAAGTTAAAGCAGATTGAGGTTGGAAGAGTAATGAAGATCCCACAATAAAGCAAATACAAGAAGTAGTAGCCAAGAATGCTATTAGCCAAAAAACAGAGAAGCCAATGCTTTGTGCTTTTGATATCAAGAAGCATAAGCTTTGTTCTTTTAAGAACAAGAAGCATATATTGAGCAATAAATGTGTTCTTAAGGGCTTGAGATGTCTACAAAAAGGCTTCAAACTCTACGCACAAGGTAGCTATTGAAATTCTTGTTATATCCAAAAGCTAACCTTTTAGTGGTAAAGCTTTTACAGCGACGGTTTTTCTTTAAGTAAGAGATTGGTCATCGCTCAAAGGCAGTCGTTTATGCCCTTATGCAATAAAGAAAGAAAGCAAGTGAGGTGGCCCCTGCATGCCGAGGCCTCAGTCGACCACTACTAAATAAAGAGGATTATCGATCGAAACTGGTACACGTCGAGCGACAAAAACAAGCAGGAGTTAAAAGTACAATTGTGGATATAATACGAAGTGTTGGGTCTTCACCGTATAAGTTTAAACAAAAAGTTGTAGAAAACAAGAAGCATATGAACAGATGCTAAAAAGTAGCTGAAAGCAAGAAGCTTAAAGGTGAAGGCTAGTGGCCACCAAGCTTTGTGGTGGCGCTTTCCAATATAATATATCATATTCAAGCTGCACATCATTTGTTTTAAAAATACTTTTATTTTTCTCGAAAGTCACCGTACGGACTACGAGAAGAGTTACCCTACGATCTATGTAACAGTTAAGCTCGCTCCTAGCAAATATTGTCTTTTTAACTTTTTCTTTTGAGCTTTCCTTCAAAGTTTTTAGAACACGTTTGTTAGGGAGAGGTTTCCATATCCTTATAACGTTCTCCTCCCCAACCGACGTGGGATCTCACAATCCACTTTCTTTTGGAGCCCAGCGTCCTCGCTGGCACTCGTTCCCTTCTCAATCAATATGGGACCCTCCAATCCATCCCCTTCGGGGCCTAGCATTCTTGCTGGCACACCGCTTTGTGTCCACCCCTCTTCAGGGTTCAACCTCCTCGTTGGCACAACACCCAGTGTCTGGCTCTGATACCATTTGTAACGGCTCAAGCTCATCGTAGCAGATATTGTCTTCTTTAGCCTTTCCCTTATATCTACTAGGGAGAGGTTTCCCCACTTTTGTAAAGAATGTTTCATTCTCCTCCCCAATCGATGTGGGATCCCACACGAAATCGAGACCGATAATGGTGTGATGATCAGTTAACCAAAACATAATTTGGTAAGTTGAGAATCCACCAAGTCCTTGCAGATGAATAACCCAAGTAGGAAATCTCTTCATACTTGCCATATCCAATCTCAAAGGTCCCAACAGGATTTGCCAGCTCCACTGAAGCAATGGTGACCTGCAAAACCTAGGATTCAAAGACAACTGATTTTCTCTTTGTTTCTTACACGAGGGGAAAAGAACAAGAACGACAAGAACACAAAAAAACAGAACATGGGTGTCTTTTCAAACAGGTCGTGGGAATATTCTGAGAGAAACAATCCCATTTTCGGACCTTTCTTCTGAAAGGGATGGAGGAACTGGAAAAAAAACATTCCCATTTTCTGTCGTTTCTCTTTGAAGTTCATGGGGAAAAAGGACACGTGAATTCTAAGAACAAGGATGGAAAAGGGAAGTGGGTGTGTGGAGTGTAATAGAAATGAGAATAGGAATGGGAATGTGGAAAAGAATACCTCTTTTCTCTTCCATGGCCGGCAATATTGGAATCCAATTCAAAGTCTGTACAAGTTTTTAAACGACAACTTTCATGGTACTCCTCATGCTTAACTTGAAACGTGTAGCTCGAGCAGCCATCAAGCGAATACTTACTGGCCAATAGGTTCAAAATTTTGATCTTGCATCGACCTATCTAATGAAAGTAATAATTTAATCTCCAAATATTTATTTGTAACGATTTAGTTTGAAATTGACATGTAACTTTATTGTTAGTTTATTCATCCTCCGATATCTCTTTAAAATGTAATTTTTCAAAGTAAATATTCATTAAAGTTGAGATACAAATCTCATTTTATTGAATAAAAATTATTATTACTATTTTTAGTTACAATAAAAATTACCTTCAAATGAACAAACTTAAACTAAAAAGTATAACCCAGTTCAATATAATACAGTTTTCAAATCCATTTAGCTACAAAAATGTGTACTACTGGCAAAACGTTAAGAATTGCATCCAATTCCCACGAACATAAATAAAATACAATATAGAGAACTTCAAAAGTTGTATCAGCAACGCCAATGGATTCTATGAACCAATAAATACGACAAAACTGGTGCGAAAAAACGACTAATGAAGGAAATATGATCTCTCCCTTTTGTACATGGAAAGGCTGCAGAAATTGGGTGATAAACTGCTTCAAGACTCGAATCTTCCGTGACAACGATGGGTAATCCAGGACCTGGCAATTCGTTTTTTCTAACAATTTTCGGTTCTTCCTGGAACGCAGTTCGCTAGAGGAAGGAAACAGCGTCCTAATGTTCTCGAGTTAAAGGAGGCGAAGAAACCTGGGTTGGGTTGGATTGGGTTATGAGCTCTCTACGCGCTGTCTTTTTGCAGGAAGATGATCGCTACCATCGATATTCTTCTCACTGTGTTCGTGATTGAAACTCCAGCCAGGGAAATCAGACGCTGAGAATAAGGAGGTGGGGATTGCTTGGTAGAAAGCCAGAGGGACTCGCTTCATTTTCTTTTTCAACTGCAACCAAAGATAACATTCAAAACCAAAATAATATACGAATTTCATTCTATCCTATTTTGATCTTTCTATCCTACTTTGTTCTATGCAGCCGATGGATTTTAGAGACGACATCAAAAGTTGTAAATAGCTGGGAGATTCATCCCGAACAAATGAGAAAACTTCCACTCTTTCCATGGAGTAAAATTCAATAATCTAACCATTATAATTTCAAAAGGGGCAATTTATCACCTTATATAACTAATTAAAGAAAAATTACTAAACCAGAAAAAAAAAAAAAGGCTAGAGTTACCTCTTGCCCGAGTATTGTCGCGTATGAACCAGCAACGAAATCTTTAACATCAATTTCAGTTGTTTTCGACCTCACGGTCAGATCATTCTCAAGCGACAAAACTAACCTACAAGAAGATAAGGGCTAGTTTTCAGTATGCAATCCAAAGCAAATAGAAGTTTCTGGATCAATATTAAGCCGCATACCTAGAAACGGGAGGACAATAATGGTGTCGAAGACAATCAATTTCCCAGAGTGAACTTCCTGTACCAATAATTCTTGTTAACAAGACAAAAATTGAGCACACATGGACTCTTGTGAAAAAATCATCACGTGACACCTAGTTAACAGTATTTTCGGTTATTAAATTTGACAAGACTATATGAATTAAAAGATCCTGTGTAACCCATTGAATAGTCAAGAAGGAAACTTTGACATGTGATGTGATACTAATAGTTTTTGCCACCTTCCATCCAACAAAGAAACAATCGACATGGAAGGCATGGAATAAATTTTCAAACACATAATGATAAGAATATAATCCTTTGGAGTAGAAATTCCACTAATCTACAAAGTATGCACCAAGACTGGAAACTTTTCTCCTGAGTAAAAATAAAATGATTCTAGAAAGATAAACTGTAATTCATTAATCATAACACAATCACCAGAATGGTTAATGTTTGGAACCTCAAATTAAGTGAATTTAGACTTTGTTAAAGATTACACTTACTCAAGGCACTAGATTTTATGGGATCAGTTTCCTCGTAGTTAAAACGGTCAATGCCTGGTTTCATGTTGGGTGTATCAGCTTCAACTTCTGAAGCATCCGTGCCTTTAGCAACCTCTTTACTTGTTGAATCGTCATTCTTACTCTCGCTAACATTTTCCTGCCCACATAATACAACATAAGTTACATCCAGTATAAAACAAGAAAAAGTAGACGCAGGTTGTAGAATCTATCAATAACAATAAGATTAAAAACTGTGCTCACTTCAATCATAACCAATATCCATACGTCAAGGACAGTTCTCAAATAGAGATCCAAATCCACCTAACGACTTTTCAAGAGGTCATAAGATTTCACTACCTACGTACTCTACCTAATCAGAAGAAGAAAATAAATTAATTACCCGGTGAACCAAACAGTTGATTGAGGGATGTCTTCGTAAGAGATTGTGAATAAGAGCTATAATGATAAGTGCTCCTGATGGAGGAACAACAAGTGATAGCCTACTCAATTTCTTAGCAAAAGCGGCAGCCAAGTATGCTGGAAGAAGTGGTGACTTCAAGCAGGAATCAAGAAGCTGCCAAGCAAGGAATCACATGTTAGGAATCACCTAAAATGAACCATATATTTAGAGAAGTCATCAGTCATATTACAACATGGTTTACATCATCAACAAACGGACTTTAATATTTTAAAAAAATGATAATTAGAAAATGACCTAGAAATTGACACCCACAAAGATCATATGAAATCTAACAATGACCCATATCCCTTCCAAGATCTCTATCAATCCAAATACCCCCAGAAAAGCATGCCAAAGAGATAATTGAAATCACTATCCATACTCTTGAAAAAAAAAATCATTTCCAAAAAAGAGTAAAAATAATTGACAACCCACTCAACTTTACCTGAAAAAACTTGGCCCGATGTTTTGCCATGAATATTGAAGGAACCAAAAGAGCATAAAGTTTTTCATAGAAGTTTGGATACTCTAAACCATATTTTGTCATAAGGAGGAAGAGGCTGCTAAGAGCCATAACACTGACAACGCCACCCATATCATAGGATTTTGTCAAGAAGTCGCTGCATATTATTAGGTAACGGATGCGTTAAATGAGAAATACAAGTTTTAGTTGTAAGAGAGAACATACAAGTCACATTATCACTAACCATAATATGATTGGATTAGAAAGATAAGGAATGACTTCCTGATCAAGAATTACAAGAACCTGAGTAGCAAAAAGAAGAGCAAAAACATATTAGATGACAACAAATCCCAAAAAAGCCAAAAAAGAATTAACATGTGAAGACAATGGGAAGGGAAGGTTGCTACACAGACGGCCATAAAAGATTTTCGAAACAAACAAACCATGTATGTATTAAGAACAAGTAGTAGAAGAAAAAAACAACAATATGGTATAGATGAACGATGCAGTATACGTACAATGGTACAAGAAGTATCTGTGCAGAAACACAGAGAGAAACTAGGATAATAAAGGAAGTGAGAAAAGTAACTATACAATTTCTTACCTAAATTAGATGGGATCAATCATAATAAGTTTGCAAAAGATCGGCAGGATTTTCTTTTTAGGCCTAATCTCAGACAATAAAGCTAGAAAATAGTTACCGTTGAGGTGGTTTTCTGAAAATTAATTTCTTAGAGTTGTTTTATGAAAACACGTTATACAAAAATGAATTCTTATATTATTTCATGCACTACGATGTTCTTGAGCCCATTGACACAACTTATGTTTTAAGTATAATATATTATTAAAAATACTCAACCAAAACAACGTAAAAGATTTACAGTCCAAACATTTATATATTAGAATACAAATTGTTTGAAATTGTTGCGAGAAATCTTTTATCAATATTTCCAAACAGCTGAAAATTGTATGATATAAATTTTCCATCTGGCTCAAAGGTAAAATGAGATGTAAAATTGTTTCCAGAAACAATGTTAACTTTTCAAGAAGTCGAGTCATCTATAACAGGGGTCAAAAGCATGATATGCAGACCAATTTCCTAATAATGAAAGCTTTTTATACAAAGCCAAAAATAAAGATGAGTGATTACCTCCTTGTACACATCAATTGGAAGCGGTAACCTAAGAAATGAAATCCATGCTTTTGTAAATTTTGGTTTCATTTTTCTTACAATCTTTGATGCCGTTAAGACCTGAAGGATGTTGTCAATAATGTTCTTAAAAGGAGGAATAATGATAGAATTTAATGTAGCCAATCCAAGGCCGAATAGAGAGAAAGAAAAAACAGATAAAGAATGAACTAGTTGTAAGGACCTCTTCATCATTTTTCCTCATCTTAAGCTGCTTTGCTTCTTGATTGTCAGAGAGCACTTTGTTGTCACCTTTAATTGGAAAAATAATGACTTTAGCAAAAACTCTGGTCCATAAAAGAAGTGCTGACAGTAAACGCCAAAGATAATTGCAATTCTCAACTTATCTAGCCGGATAAAGGAGTGTTTGATTAAAAATACTAAAACTTCTCCTGCTGGATAAAAGAGTGTTTAGACTATAAATGCTAAAACTTCTTCAGCTGGATAAAAAAGTCCTTTTACTAGATATTACAGGGAAGTTTCCTAGTCAACCTTGATTATCACTCACTATTTTGCAATTCAATAAATAATCTTTTTTGGCCATTTGGCTGGAAGGCCCCTTAACAACAGTTATTTTTGGAATGCACCACGAGGGTTTAAACATAAAAAAGAGTGATTGCAGGTGTAAATTTGTTTTAAAAGATGAGAAGAAATAACCTAAAAATTCAATTACTCAAATGGGCCCAAGTACAAGATTGAAAGTTTGGCCAGCCATGGCCATTTTGGAAATTCCTCATTTTAAATTGGAGTTCATGATGCCATTTCTATGTCCAAACTAAATTACAAGTCAATATGAAACTAGAAAAGTTCCATTATGCCGCCACAAAATTCCAGCACTTGTTGTAAAAAAGTAACCAAACAAGATTATCAAAATACCCTTTGAGAAGGTTAGAGACGTTAAACTCGACATGTTGAGAAATCAAGATCTATGCATGCAGTTAGAAGGATAGGAAATTATGCAGCTAACTGTATTACAAAAGGAGGCTGTGTGAACAACTAACTTTTACACGCTGATTTAAAATGGACAGTATCAACAACCAAACATAAATGAAATCTATGGAAATTACCTGATTCAACCCACATAGTGTAGTCAGATTGGTTTGAGTTTTCTAAAGGGGGGATGGAGGATATGATAGAGTGCACAATGTGTATGAACTCCACTCTGCATGGAAAAAGGTAAATTCCATGTATTCAATACAAGCGTTACAAGAGATGAAACAATTTTTAAAAAGACTTCATAACCCAAATGCCTTAAATTATGTTTCAATGGGGACGATGCAAAGCACAAAATTGTTGTTCAAGGTGATTAAAAAATATTCCTTGAGATCTAAATATCGTATAACCGACAAAGAATTGAAGAAATTACACTTCTATGAAATTAACAAACTAATGTGCGTAACATGTCCTAAATGTCAGGTGTTCGAACCCCCACTCCCAAATGTTAGGATTTTCCCCATTCCCTTAGACAAAGTACACCAACTCCCTCCCACATCATATATAGTAGTAACTATAATCTTAATGTACTTCAATTTCAAGGAAAAAAAAAACCGAGCATTTAGAGATCAAACATTTACCCTTTTCTTGAATGATCACCATCATCGCCATCAATCCTCACACTTCTATCACCTACAAGAAGAAAGTAGTTTCAGTGAACGAAGCAATCAGAAAATAAAAATAACAAAATGTCAAGTAATATGTGGGAAAAATACCAAACATGTACTCAGCCTCAAAAGTCCTCGTGAGTTTTTCGATGCTAATATATGTAAAATAACTGCAAAAAAGAGTGGCAGGTGAAAATGGATCTCTTAGGCATTCTAAAGCATGCCTCTCTTAACCTAGAATCTTAGACGTGAAAAATTCAACAAAAAACTTGGGGTAAAAGCTAAGTCATGCATTCTTTTATGGAATAGAAAGCAATAATTTAGGGAAAATGATGCAATAAACGAAGATAAAGAGGATAGAAATAAACTATAAAATGAATCCCAGTCAAGTCAGTGCTCAAGGAGCAGAAGGAAAATATTTTGAACCTTAAACTGGAAAACGTAAACTTTATAGTGACATGTAGGCCCGGGATGGTAAGGGTGAAGAAGAAGAAGAAGAAAACATACCGGACATCGAGGTGATTGAAGTACTTCTTGACAAGCAAGGCTATCAGAGTATTAACTGGAGTCGAAGAATGAGCCTACAAGCAAGAACAAAGGTTAAATGCACAGATATAGTGCAATCAGCAACGCACAAACTGGCAATGGACGATAGCCAAGTAACTTACAATACTCTGTAGAAACCTGTGATATAAAGCAGAGTGGAATTTTCCCCTGTTACCAACTTTAACAAACTCCATAATCGCATCCAACACAATCTCCTACACCACGCATAACAACAGAATAAAGAAAGCGCACAATTAAACAAACTCACCAAACCCAAAACAAAGCAGATAATAAACAACACAACGATTTGCAAAGCAACGAAAGGCCACCTTGAGAGTATCGTCGCATTCAGAAGAGACCGCAACATCGATGAGCGACTTAACGAGTTCATCGAACTTGGAACGTAGCCAGGTCCGGTAAATCAACTCGGCGTCGTCCTGAACATCGGCAGCAGGCTTGGAGGAGGAAGGGAGGGAGGGGAGGACCGTGATGAAAAAGGACTGGAGGGAGAGAAGGGCTTCGAGGACATATTGAGGAGGTTTAGAAGGAGAAAGGAAGGTGAGAAGCAGAGGGAGGTTGTTGATGTGAGCTCGAGAGGAGAGAAGTTGGAGTCCTAGGGTTTTGAGGTCGGAAAGCTTGTGATTCTTCTCATTCTTCTTCTTCTTCTTCTCGCTCTGATTCAGTGAGGGAACGGACGCCATTGCAGCTGCTGTGAGAAAGCTTCCGGCGGGAACAGAACTGTGGCAGAGCCTTTGGTAGAACACCACAGCGCTGGTTAGGTTTTTGAACTGAAAGAGTTGACCCGTTTGTGTGTTGGGGCGTGGTACTCCTTTCCTGGATAAGACTTTATACCTAAACCGGAATATGATATCCTTCGCGCTCTTTTTTTATTTTATTTTTATTTTTTTGGGAACATTATACTCCTTGTATTTAGTTGTTTGAGTTTCGAAATTCAATTATTTAAGTTTACTTTTGTTTTTATTTATTCAATTATTTAAGTTGTTTGAGTTTAAAATTTTAAAAAATTTAATTGTGATAAATTTTATTTAATTGGATGTATCAAGAGAATTCTAATCAAAGGTCTCTTAATAATTATTAGATCTTTTTCCAAAACTTTATGTAAAGTACAAATTACAAGTGATCATGTTAGGAATCACAACTCTCCAAAACTTTACGTAAAGTACAAATTACAAGTGACTATGTTAGGAATCACAACTCTCCACAATGGTATGATATTGTCGATATTGTCCACTTTGAACGTAAGCTCTCATGGCTTTGTTTTGGGCTTCCCCAAAAGGCCTAATACCAATGGAAATAATATTCCGCGCTTATAAACCCATGATCTTCCACTAAATTAAAATAATCCTCAACAATCCTTGTTCATATAGACGCTTTCAATCTTATCATACATTGTTTTAGGCTAAATTATAAAAGGACCCTTTCAATCTTATCATTTGTTAACAAAAAAATAAAAAAATTACATGGTATTCTTGACCGATGTGACAATTGGAATGTCAAACATAAATGAGAACCTAGAACGATGTGGCAATGACCTAGAACAGAATTCTGGATTGCATTTTTGTTTTAGATCTCCTCTACAACATTCTAAGTCTCAATTTCCATTTGTCATTCAAAGCAATTTATACTCTAATGGTAGTTTTAAAACGTTTACAAAAGGTATTTGTAAACGTAAAAGATAATATTGTAATGTTTGAAAGAATACAAAGTTTTCGATATTTTCTATAATTCAACCGCATTTCGATAAAGTCAAGGCAAACAACTAAAAAACCTATCCAAACCAACATTTGAGTTATAAACCAAGTTAGAATTACACAAAAGAAAAACCTGTGGTAAGAGTATGAATGTTGGACAAAGCAAAGCAAAAAAGAATTGTATGATCTTCAAGTTACAATCCCTTTCAGATTCAAGCAAAACCAGCATGCCAACAAAGAAGGCTCAGATTTAAGTTGGAACCTACAACATAAGAATGTGCATCTGTGTTCTGTTCTATCTCTCTTATTTTGCAGTAGTGAGAACTTGCCAAAATCCCACCACACCTTGAAAGAAACATTTGAAATGACATCTAGATATGAAGCTGACTATACCTTAACATGCTAATTTTCAACAGCAACTTCACCTTATCAAAGTAAAATGCTAACAAATTTAGCCAAAAAGACGTTTTTTTTCTTGCCTGTGACCAGCAGCACGTTTGCCATCGTCCCCGAGAAAAAAACCAACCAATGGAACGTGAAGAATTTTGCCTATGCAGTAAGTTGAGAATGGGCTGTTAGAGAAGTTCACGAGATCGAATAATTAGTAGGTCGACCGTGCTCTGTGTCTGCGTGGAGTGGAGAGGTAACACGGCTTTAATACTCAGGCGAGTTATGGAGACAAAAACCGTTAACCTTAAATCTATGCAATTTGCTAACTGAATCCAAACTTGGTACATTATCAGATTGTTAAATTTAGGGAACTATTGTAGCATTGCATTAGAGTGAAACTAAAAGGAATTGCATCATCGCATCGTCCCGGGGGTTACGTCGAACAAGGTTACACGGTAGAAAACTAAGCTGGTTATTAGATAGGAGATTACTGACCTCATATATCAATTCGTGCTTTATATTCCCAAACGCTTGAGAGAATCTGGGCCAACCAGGAATATACGCCTTTGTGTTTGGTGCCTAAAACCCACCACTCCTTTATACGCGGTCCTTGGAATACCATCCTGGGAAACGAAAGAAGAACATGAGATAGCTTTTAATTAACAAATGCATTCAAAAGCATATTAAGTTATAAACCTGCATTATTATAGGAACAACAAATTACTATGTAAAGAAAAAGGTTAAATTACAAATTTAGTCCCGAAGATGATCGTGTGTCTATTAGGTTTGTAGACTTAGGTTTTTGTGTTAAATAGGCCTCTATACTTTAGAAGTGTGAAATAGGTTTCTAAACTTCCAATTTTATGCATGGACGTATTTGACATTTATAAAGTTCACAAAATTACATGTTGTGTAATAGAGTTCTAACATTTCAACTTTGTATCCATAGTTACGTAAATTTTAAAAATAAATGTCAATTAAGAATAGACCTATTAGACACAGAAGAGAAAGTTAAGAGATCAAAAAACTTATAATTCAACCAAAGGAAAATTAAAATATCCAATTCCAAACACTTCGAGAGGCTTGGACTTTTCCAGCAAAACTCTAAAAAAAACTGTACATATTTCCAAACCCTAATTCACCCTATTTATATCACTTTTCACTATAGCCAACTTCGAATATGCTCTTCTAATATCCTAGTAACATGCCTGATATTTCCCTACAGAACTCCTAATCGGAAGCATTTCATTTGGCCACAAAGAAATTGCAGAGATAGAAAGGTGGCGGACAATTACCTTCCACTCTTCAAAAATACCAAACTGCCGAGCAATGTTTTCGAAGTCTGATTGGTCTCGGTACTCAATTCGAACATCACCCGCAACATTAAAAGCCTTCATAACTGCATCATTTCCATAAACAGGTTTTGCTTTTTTAACAACATCTGCAAAGTGCTTCACGTATTTGTCCTACAAAAAGGAATAACAATTAGTGATAGTTTTTTTTTTTTTTTAATTCATTTCAAATACATAAGCATGCACATTACCTCCATCAGGTAGCTCAAATCCATAGACATCCAGTCGATCTATAGCAAGCAAAAGATAAAAACTTTAAATTCAGTTTCAATTTCGACTGAATGACAGCGAGAAGACCATACAGAGCTTACTTGAACGTCATTCAACTTGATTGGCTCAAGGTATTGCTTGAAAAATTGACCCATACTGGAACCCTGCAAAGGATCCAGGCATTCAGAAAGACTGGCATGAAAAATGCAGAATGTATAGGAAAGTTGTCATGACTCGTGAATGTTAAATTAAAATACATTTATCCTCTCCTCGTGGCTCAAAGGAAGTGAATAAGTGAAAAGTTACTTACATGCTCACCAAAATTATATGTTCTGCACACTTCTGGACGAATAAATTGGCGACCTTTGTGATTCTCCTTCAACCTCAACCAGTCATCCCAATAAGTTTAATTTTGTCAAAGAAACAGTTTTAGGGAAAGCTTACCATACTACAGATCATTTTGAACCAGATTCATAACTAAACTAAAAGTAAAGGATATGCCTTGGGCCACTTCGGTGATAGTTCATCCCAAATAGACTTGGTTAACATCCAACCAAGTCCTGGAAAGAAATCTGAGCGATACAGTAAATCTGCAGGGCATATGAAGGTGGATACAAATAAGGCAATTCACTAAAGATTGAAATGTAATCAAATTGATAAATGTCAGGCAACCAAGTTATCATAGAAAATCTTGATGAGAGTGAACTTTAGTAGCTTGCATTATTTAATTGACTGGTAATCTATATCTTTAATACCAATAAGAGTTCAAGCTACCGAAGTGTTCTAATTTTCCAAAAGATTTCTGGCAAATAAAATTTATTCCCAAGTGGAATCCAGTTCATTTTTGGCCTAGACGTCTTCTCTTTTTTGCTTCTTGTTGATTCCAAAGAATGGAATATCTTGGGCTCCCATTCATAGTGTTTCCTTTTGGAATCAAGTGTTGGAAAAGGCTAAAAAGCGGCTATTGTGCTGGGAAGGGGCTTTATTTTCTATGGGTATGACTAACTCTCATTCAGTCGATTTTAGGTGGAATCCCAACATACTTTGGGTCTGTGTTTAGAATACCGGTAGCAGTGAGCAAGAGCATAGAGAGTTGTGAGGAATTTTTTATGGGGGGGGGGGGGGGA